TATGACTTTATCTTTACAGAAATTAAGGGATAAAATTTCATCTATTTATCTATCATCTATCTATCATCTATCAATCAATCTATCTATCATCTGCCTGCCTGCCTGCCTACCTACCTACCTATCTATCTATCCTCAAGCTTGGTATACAAAAGTTAGATTTATATTTCCTTTACATGTTGACCCAGTCTTTCTCTACATGATAGACAAGATATAGATATAGATAGTATTGAAGATGACATTGATAAAAGGATGTAGAAGTTGTTGCCCAGAGGAAAAGGTGGGGGGGACATTTTTTTAACTTCAGAAAATCCAGATCTGGAAACAGAGCAATGTAGCATCACTAATGACAGTTATTTAACTGATTATGATTTCACTGAAAATGTTTTAAAATTGTTTCAACTTTAATAATTTCAGTTTAGTAATACAGATGTATAATATGGCATTATTTTAATTCTTCTAAGTCATCTACAACAAAAAGGTGAATATAATACATATGCATCTAATAATAAATAGAAATAAAAGTTTAAACAAATTCACCAGAAAACATGGGTACTAAAAACAGTTCTTTTTCTCTGAAATTATATGGAAATGGCATTATAAAATATTTCTCTCTTTCCCTAAAAGTTTGAAATTTTATTTTGCAGATGGATTCCTAGATAAATTCCTTCAATTAAAGATAGAAGCAGATCCCTTAAAGATCCTACATTCTTCAAAGTGTCTTGCATTATGAATCAATTGGCTATCTATTTGGTTCCCCTGGAAACATATCACCTGTAGTTTACAATCATAGTATATTAATGCTCAAGGCCCATGTCCAAATAATCTGGGAGATACATTAGAAATAAATTAACCTGGATTGAACATACTCTGCTTAGTCAAGGCAATTTTTTGGTGTGTATTATTTATATTTTTTTGCAGTAATAATATAAATGTGACAAATTGCTTAATGTGCACCTTTGTTAATTCCCATTTGAAAATATGTATTTAATTGTTGCAATTATTCCTGTTTTAGGAGCATGTTGTTCTGAAGATCAGGTGTTATAACGTGTATTCTTTCCCTTTTTCCCATTGGTATTTCAAAAATAAAAATTATGGCCATAGAATATAAGGAAGACATAATTGCATTTGGGAACAACTTTCTATTTCTTTAGCTTCACTGATTTGCTGAATGAAAGAAAAGAAAGATGTTTTTGTGAAGATGTAGGAAAGGAAACTTTTTATAATAACTATAATACCAAAGTGAAAATGTGAAAAAATAAAAAGGGGTTGTTTTTTTTTAAAATCATTGAGCCTATCTCATAAAGAAAACTGACATTTATTTGATCTATGTATAAGCACTATTACTTTTTACTGCAATATACACATGTCATCTCATAAATGGAACTTCTCTCTAGTGGCTTAGTTGATGGAAGCAGTTCTTTAAGTCACTGGTTAGGGACTTTTTTATGAACAGTGCGAGTTAGGCTTCTCTGTTAGAAAGCTTTTGCAGTTGCTGGGTGACTGGAGTGTGAAATAAGGTTCTGCCAGCTCTTGCTTTCAAGTACCTATTTTAACTCTGCAGAACTGTCATGATTAACTGGCAATCCATTTGTTATATATCTATTGGTAAATCTGAACAGAAAGCTCCTGATTTTTTTCTCCCTTACTTTTCTAAAGTGGAAAAAAAACCCTTCTCTCGCATCAGGTCAGATCTCCTATTTCCTCAAGAATATGGGATAGTTTAGCACTTTGCCAAAATGAGATGCCCACAAGGCTTAGGTGAAGGCTAGCATGCTTTTTAGAGATAAAACCCAGATGGTAGTTTCATAAGTATCTTGATGAAAAATGAAAGGCAAGGGATAATCTACACATATGCATATTTAAATACACAATCCAGCAAGACCAAACAAAGAAATGATATGCTTTCTAAAACTTATGGATGGTATCAAAACCATAGCTCATCTGAATAATCATAATGAATCCTGCACTTGTCTGATGTTTGATAAACTGCTATATTGGTTATAGTAGAATATTGCCAATAGCTTGTTAATACTATCTCCACAGTTCCAACTACAGTGATGATTCATTTCTCAAAATATTATTGCTATTAGTATCACTAGTGCTGCTCACAAATTTGTTGTTAATCGTTCAACGGGGAAGTCTGGTTTAGCTATCACAAACACTTGTAGTTTAAATAGTTTTCTATCCTGAATAAGTCCACTGATAAGGATAGAAAACAACTGTTAAAATCCATGGAAACTTTATGTTATCAGACTTCTGGGCACCACACCATTGGCTCATATTTAAAAGATTGTCTACTAGAACTCCAAGATCCTTTTCACAGTTACTGCAACTGAGCCAGGTACCTATTCTATGTATATGTATGTGTATGTGTATGTGTATGTGTATGTGTATGTGTATGTGTATGTGTGTGTGTGTGTGTGTGTGTGTGTATGTGTATGTGTAGGTATGTAGGTATGTAGGTATGTATATATGTATGCGTGAATGTATTGTATGTGTATATGTATGCATATGTGTGGTGTATGTGTGTGTGTGTGTGTGTGTAAATTCTGTCATCAGTAACATTATACATTATTCATTTTTTTTCTGAATCTTTACTATTATCAGAATGTGACACAGATAGATTTTCTTGTAACCTCTTTTATAATAAAGTAATGGCATAGAATCATGCAAATATATTTCTTGTGGTATAAATATGTTTAAAACCTGGCACTATCTGTAAGGAAAGATCCTTATGGAAATTCTTTCCACTTAATAAGATCCATAGCATAGTTAATAGTCAAGCTTGCATACAAAATAATTGTATCATTTGATGAGATTTGCCAAAGAAAAAGAGAACAAAGGCCGAGAACATGTTTCTTCTTTAATTAAAATTTGCTTAACCAGTATTGTGCTTTAGGAATGGTTGATCAGCTTTCACAATTGTTGAAAGATTCATAAAATACATGGATATTAGCAGGGTTTGAGAAAAAACACAACAATTCAGAAACAATCAGTACCAGATGTCCCTACATCCTTTGAAAAATCTTGCCAAAACTTTACTAGCTTTTTACCTCTGCTTAGTCAATCTGAAACCACATAAACAATATTTTTCCCTTAGGGTATGGCCATATGTTGTTCTGGCTGGCAAAGCTCTGCAAGTCTATGGATGCTTATAGTACAATTGTCTAACAACTCTGCTGTCTGTTCAAACACTCATTCATTATACTAGCTTGTTTTCTATAAATACACAAGCAAGTAAATATATCCCTAAATGAGGGGAAAAAACTGTAACTTCTTTGCTAATTGTAATTATTCCATGTACATTTTGCAGTATAAAGGAATGCCATCAGTAAAAGATGATTGCAAGAGAAAGAGGAGAGCACATGTTATTGTTGTATAGTTAACTGTGTTTTTTCTTGTAGATAGCCAATATGAATTCTTAGGTAAAGAAGAATCACTGGCATTGCACCTAATCTGCAATTAGTCCAACTAATGAAAGAATACACAAGGCATTGAGCTATTGAAAAAGGACTCATCTAATTCACTGGGATTCAATTCTTTCTGCACCAATTTTAAAAAAATGAACCAGTTCATCTTTAAAATGTACAGGTAAAATTAAGGAAATAGAAATTGTTATTTTAAATAACATATGATAATTTAATTAAGTTTCAGTGTGTGGCATAAGGAAAATAAAGAAAATAAACCTGGAAGTGGGACTTATTTGACTGCGTTACTTAATGCTTTATTCTACTGTTCATCACCTAAACATTTCCAGAAGCCCCAAATATGGGCAAAATACAACAATGGTTTTCCAAGGACTGAAGATGGAATCAGCAATCAACACCTTTGCAGAGTTTCTCAACAGTAATATCTAAACTTGAACCATACAGATATGAGTCACAGTGCACCAGACTATACTGTATTAATCAGACCACTATGTTATGAACCATTCAGTGTGGCAGCTGACTCTAAGTTCCATTTGTAGTGGAAAAGGCACCTACTCCAGGAGGGGGGGGGGGAGGAAAGACAGATAAGGAAGGTTCCAACTATGATAAAGTAGCTGCTCAGAGGTTTCAGGAATAGAAGACATATGGAAAACAAAACAGAACTAATAAGTAGGCTATTGCATTCTGTCCACAGATAAAATAACAAACACACCATTATTGCTTCCTCCAAATATAAGGAAAACTTTTCAAAGAATGGGGAGTTTTTTCCCTCCATTTCAGATCAAATAACCATTGAGCAGAGGTGGTATTCAGCAGGTTCACTTCAGTTCTGGAGAACTGGTAGCGGAAATTTTGAGTAGTTTGGAGAACCGGCAAATACTATCTCTTACTAGAGATTTTACAGTATCTTTCCCCTGTCACCCACCAGCCAGTTGCGAGTCTATCTAGTGGTGGTGCTATCTATTCCACATTTTTCTAGCTTACTAAGAAGTAGGTTGTGGTCTACTTTGTCAAATGCCTTGCTGAAATCTAAATATATTATGTCTACCTATTGAAAAATACCTTTGTTTCAAGATAATTTTAAAATTGTTAAAAAAGAATACATAGATCAATAAATAAGACATAGATTTCATCATATATATTGCTATAGACTATTTAAAATTCCTGTGTTCAATTATATTTCTTTGTAATATATTGTTATGTTTTGTAAGCATAAATTAAGATAAACACATATCCCTGAAGAATGTTCAATTAAAATCAATGAAACTTAATTCCTGATAAATAAACATTTTGCTGTTGGGGACATGGACACTCTTAGCTTTAATATTTCAGTTTCAATCACTAAATTTATTTCTCTTACTTGGCTCAAACTATAATTGAATACTCTTTCTGCCCTATATGAACAGGGAAATTTGTAAAAGACTGAAGGAGAAAATAACATAGATGATAATTATTTACGTCTCACATCTTTCTATCTTACCCAAAATATGCTATAGTAAAAATACACTGTGTGTGATACCCAGTAATACTGCTCACATTACAGTACATAAAATTCAATATATTAATATTAACTTATTGATATTATTTTCATTTCCAATGTTAAAGAGATGTTAATCAGTTAGGGTAATCTAGTATCGTTCTGCAATAGTGTCTATAAGCCAAAGTATAAGGATTCCCCCTTCAAAAAACAAAAACAAAGAAACCCAGAAATGCCAATCCTGAAATTTCCCTTCACTGCATTTTAAGGGAATCTTTATGAATTTTTCCCCCTTTCACGTAAAACTTGAATACATGAAGAACTTTGTCAAAAGCTGACATTTTTTAACTGACAGGTGCTATTATCATAAGAAGACTGATTAATAAATTAGTAAATTTTCCAACAGCAAAGGATTGTCTGATATTAAAAACTACTTGCTCAGCACAGATTCTTAGTCTCATTATTTTCCATAGTAGTTTTGGCTTTCAGTATATAAACTCAGATAGCCACAGAAGAAAATAACAATTGCAGCAACAAAATATGGTGTGTTTGTGCACATTTCTATTGGAATAATTTCATTTAAATTTCTCAAGTACATGCACTGATTTTGTTGTTAGAGAAAAAGAATCATATATACAAATGTCACAAAAATAATTCTTCACTCAGATGTCATACTTCTTTTATGTTGCATAACAACCACTATGCAACACTCATTCCATGTCAAGACTATGTTTTGGAAGGAATGTGTCTCACTCCCAAGCTATATAATATAGTAGTTTAGATCAGAAAAAGCACCAAACTAATAACTAATGACGATCATATGGATGTATATTATAGTCAGCTGCATTCAAAATATGCTATTTTAACTTTTGGACATGTAAACATCTACATTGGTTTAATGTTTAATATCATCCATATATTCATGATGTACAGTTTATGGAGCAATAGAGACCAGTTTCAGTTGCTAAAAGGCATAGAAAATACATGGGTCTCTAAGTTATTGTATAATTTATGGTGAAAAATAAGAATTAACCCATCCAAAACATGGTACCTCACAAGACTTCTGTGATAATATCAAGTATCCTAAGAAAGTACCAAGAAAATCAGGTATCTGTTTATTTTGAAACTCACTGCCAACCAGTGTGACTAAAGCAAATTTCTTTCTTTCTTTCTTTCTTTGTTTGTTTATTTAGTCAAGCAATTATAAGATAACAGGTATAAGTTATAAACACAGTTATGGATACATGAAATGGATACATATAAGAAAAACCCTTAAGAAAATAAAATAAAATTTTGTAAACTATATAAAGATATAAGAATAGTAATTACAGCTAAAGATATTATTCAATAGTAGACAAATAGAATATAATGTATTATGGTATTTAAACCAAAATCCTGTATAGATGCCAAGAATGTTGTTGATACCATGATGTTTTACGATGTAAATATTTTTAATAAAAATATATTTTTTAAAAAAGAAAGAAAAAGAAAAGAAATAAAAATAAAAAAGAACAATAGAATAGGGACAGTAGACACATTGGTGTCCTTATGCACTCCCCCTACAGACTTCTTAGGAAAGGGGTGAGGTCAATAGTAGACAGTCTAAGGTTAAAGTTTTGGGGGTTTGGGGAAGAAACCACAGAGTCAGGTAGAGTATTCTAGACATTGACCACTCTGTTACTGAAGTCGTATTTCCTGCAATCAAGTTTAGTGCGGTTTACCTTGAGTTTGTATCTATTGTGTGCTCTTGTATTGTTATGGTTGAAGCTGAAGTATTCATTGACAGGTAGGACATTGCAATGTATAATTTTATATACTATACTTAGATCGGACCGAAGGCGGCGTAGTTGTAGGTTTTCTAGGTCTAGAATTTCAAGTCTGGGGGCATAAGGTATTCTGCAACAAGTAAAGGAGTGGAAAACTCTTCTTGTGAAATATTTCTGGACTTTTTCAACTGTGTTAATATCAGATACGTAATGCAGATTCCAGACTGATGAGCTGTATTCAAGTATTGGTCTAGCAAATGTTTTGTATGCTAAGAGAAAGAGCTATGTAGGATTAGGTTAACAACTCTTAATGCCTTTTTGGCTATGTAGTTACAGTGGGCTCTAACACTTAGATCATCAGAGATGAGAACTCCAAGGTCCTTGACAAAGTTTGGATCATCAACAAGGTCTTGACTATTCAGCTTATATTTTATTTTCTGATTTTTTTTTTGCCAATATGTAAGACAGAGCATTTGTTTGTTGAGATTTGAAGTTGCCATTTGTTTGACCATTCTGATACACAGTCAAGGTCTTTTTAAAAGGTAGTAGTATTGTCTGTGGTGTTGAATAGCTTTACATCGTCAGTGAAGAGGACACAGTTTCTCTTGATATGATCACAGAGGTCATTTATGTAGAGTATTTAGAGAGTTGGTCCTAAAACACTGCCTTGGGGGACACCACTGTTGACAGGTACAGAATTTGATAGGATGGTCCCAATTTTGACCATTTGTTGTCTGTTTGACAGGAATGCTTCTATCCAATTATGTAGGTGTCCCGAGATACCATAATATCTTGTTTTCCAGAAAAAGCCAGACTGAAATAGATCTTGGTCATCCATTTCATTCAAAAATGGCTACTGAGGTGAAATTTCATTGAACATTTTATCATTTGGTGATTACCAAAGGCAAATTTATGGCTCATCTGTAATTCTATACCATGGAAGGTTGAGACAAGACTTTAAACACTATTTTTCACAATATCTATAAATGAGACCCACAAGGAGAGAAAAAAGCTTTTCAATGAGTCTGCAAGAGATTAAACAGCACCAGCTCTTGTTTGTATCTTACAGCGACATTTGAAGCTTTTTGGAGAAAAATCAGTGAAGAGTAGGCTCTTGATATTTTTGTAACAGGCCCAGTTTCTATGATGGTATCTGGAGAAGACTGCACATGAGCACTCATATCTATGAGAGTGAACACTTCTGAAAGTGTTCAGGCTTTTGGAGAGTTGAAAACTGGATCAAAAATTTTAAATGTCCAAAAAAATGTTACAGTGAATAATGCTTTGATAAAATTAGAGAAGAATTGTCACCTTACCATAACCAAAAGGATGAAATTAGATCCTCAAAGCTAGTCCATGTTCAGGTTCATCATGCATTTACAATCAATACACCTAGTCAACAATAAAAAAAATGGCTGAGCACTAGTGTCATAGAGATAGCTCTGAATTCCCCAGCATCTTGGGAATTTTGAAAGGAATGATGTTGAGAATGTGGTGAGTGTCTTTCCTTTTTCCATATAATAAAACCCTATCGCCACATTTAGAATTTTGGATCTGAAAGCTGAAAAGTGTTCAACAAGTCTTGACAATTACCAGATCCTTCATAAGTTAACAAATTAAACTGAACTTCACAAATTAAATTTATAGCTATCTGATGTGTAGAAAACTGAGATCCATCACATAACTTTGTTTAATGCTAACCAAACATTAAGTTCATTTACTTTTATGAACAATCCTGTAGTTCAGAGTTACAGTGCTACAGAGATGGTGGTAGAGTGAAAATTTCTGATTTGGAAAAAAATAGTGATAAGCTAGTGGAGGCAGACTGAAAGCAGCACATTGGCAATTATAGAAAAAGGAGGGTAGACCTGTGCCTGACCTTTCTTTCTTTTACATTCTAATCTAAATGAAGAAATCTAAATAACAGAGACGATGGAACTTCCAGTGTAAAGGTTCTGGTTTTTAACACTAACTGTCACTTGCTGATAAAACATCTATGCTTCAGAGAGGTATTGCACATGTTTAACCTGGAGACTTGACAGCAGTTGGTTTCTTTCTGAGTAATAAAGTCTTATATGCTGGAATAAGCATATTGGTTATGCTTATTTCAGCATATGACTTTATTACTCAGAGACAAACCAGCAGTTAATCAGGTGAGAGTTTAGGTGAAGAGAGCTATAGAAGCATCACAGGATTGCTTTGAGTGCATGGATTGACACATGTTTAAAGAAGCAGCAACAGATGAACAACATATTAATGTGGAGGAGTATGCCACAATTGTGTTTGTATATATTCAAAAGTACATTGAGGACGTCTGTCTTCAAAACATGGTTGTGAGGATGAATGAAAAACCGTGGATGATGTATGAGGTTTGCAAGATGTTGAAAGAATGGAATGTGGCTTTTAAATTCAGTGATATGCTGGCACTTAATACAGCCAGATTTGAAAAGTGCCATAAAAAGAGCAAAGCAAGCCCATAGTCAGAAGTTAGATTTTTCACTGCAGCAAGCAGTGATCCTATCATATTTTAAGATGCCCATTATTTTTGCCAGTGCCAAAAAAAGTCTACAGTTATGGGTCTCAATGATTATCATCCAGTTGCACTTAAATCCATCATAATGAAATGTTTTCAGAGGCTGATAAAGGACATTATTGTATCCAGCCTCTCTCCAGCATTTGAGTCATTTCAGTTTGCTTGCCATCCAAATCGCCTTTCAGAGGATGCTATTTCTTCTGTTTTCCATCTGAGTTTAACACACTTACAGGAAAGAAATACTCATGTGTGAATGCTGTTTGTCCACTTCAATTTGGTATTTAATACTATCACGCCTCAGCATATAGTAGACAAACTGGGCCTTTTAGGCTTTAATACTCCTTTGTGCAACTGTATTCTTGATTTTCTGATTGATAGACCCAATATGTGCAAATTGGGGCTAATATTTCTAACACAATTTTCTTGAACACAGGTTCTCCTCAGGGCTGTGTCCTAAGTCCACTGTTCTTTCACCCTGTTGACCCATGACTATTGTGCTAGATTTGCCACCAACCATATTGAGAAGTATGCAGATGATACAATAGTGTGGGCCTTATTCAAGATGACAATGAAAGTGCTTATCATAAGGAGGTAAAGGATTTCGTGAACTGGTATAACAAAAATAGCCTCATTTTCAATGTAGGAAAAACTGAAGAGATCATTGTCAATTTCAGAAAAGGCAGGCACAGCTACACACCTCTGTCTATTAGTGATTCACTTGTGGAGGTGGTTAGCAGAATCATGTTTCTGGGTATGCAGCTAGCCAGTAAGCTAGCTTGGACATGCAACAGTGAGACACTGGTGAAGTGG